GAGAAAATAACATATAAACTATAAGGATTTAGTGAAAAAAAGGTTTGCAATGCATTTAGGAGGTTTTAGGGATTACACAAAGGAAATATGAGATTTTTGAGATGAAGAAAAATATTTTTAATCTTAACATGAAAATTACTTTTCACACGGACTATTCAAAACAAGTACTCAATATGTTCATAGACAAATCTTTATTTTAGTTTATTAAAAATACTTCACTAAACAATATGATTTTTCTATGTGAAAGACTGCCAAATTTTGTGAAGATATACACATTATATTGAAAATTAGAAGTATTAAATCTATAAAGACTTTAAACGAGTACAAAGAGGTGACGTGGTTGGTCAAATTGACTGAGCTTATTTTAAGAGAGTTAATAGATGCCCATGGGTGATACAACATTATCATCAGCAGAGATACTTTAGCCTCCAGAATAGTTTTTTTGGCTTGCTTAGTTGTAGATAAGTGCCCTCATACACATGGTCTCAAGGTATCCCACATAGTATGGAGTGTCCACCTTTATTCTTGCTATGGAGAAACTTTCTCACTGACCCACAAGTCAGCACACACAAGTGTACCTTGCTCATCATTTGGTTATCAAAAACTAGACTGGTTCTTACTGTTGCACCCAGTGTCTCATAGAACTTTCACATTCTTTTTCCTGACATAGCTTTCAGCTCCTGGCATTGTTGTGGTTTGTTGGTACCTCTCGATGTTTGTCACATGTTCTAATCACCACTGGCACTGTTGATCTCTGGTAACTTGAGCTGACCATCAATCTTGCACTGGTTAATCATGGTAATAGCACTTCCTTCTTGTGGTGCATCTAATTTATGTTGAGATTTTTGCTGTTGTTTGTTGGTGTCAGACTTGCACTCACTTGCAATGTGCCCCCATCTTGTAATAAACATAGCATCTCTTCTCTCTTTTATCTGGGGCCTGGCGTGGCCAGGTGGCTAAGGAGCTTGACTTGTAATCTGTGGGTAGTGGGTTCAACTCCCTGTCCCACCAAAGATGCTTGCTTTTTCAGTCGTGGGGTGTTTTATAATGTGATGGTCAATCCCACTATTCCTTAGTAAAAAGTAGCCCAAGAGTTGGCAATGGGTAGTAATGACTAATTACCTTCCATCTAGTCTTTCACTGCTAAATTAGGAAAGGCTAGCTGAGATAGCCCTCGTGTAGATTTGCATGAAATTCAAAACAATCCCAATCCTTTTGTCTATAGACTTATTGGCAAATTTGGTGGCATCCTGGTTTTGACTCTGACTGGTTATTTATTCTTGGACTTGCCAGTTATACTCTCTCTATGGGCTTCCATATACTGTTCTGCCAACTTGATCATCTCATCAAAGTTTTTTGCTCTCTCTCTTTTAGGAACAGTGACGTGTCTGTGGAGCATGTATTTTTGAACTGTTCACATATTATTAGATCTGCCAGTCCTTCAAAACTATCTTCACTGTTGGCCATGTCAGTCCACCTTGTGAAGTATTGCCGTAGACATTCCACAAACTGAAATACAGTTTCTCCAATGTCAGGTTTGACTTCTCTGAACCTCCGACAAAACATTTCCTTGGTAAGTTCATAGCATTTCAACAAGGCCACTTTTAACTTGTCCATGACATCTTCTGATGTCATGCCCACATACACATGTAGACCTTTTTCTGTGAGAAGGGGCTGAGACAGACTGCCTGGTTTTGACTTTGGACAAACCTTTCATACCTCTCTAGGAAAGCATCCACATTGTATTTCTGTTCATCAAATTTGGGTCAGCTGGTCCTAACCCCATCATCCTTGGCTCTTTCATCTTTCTGTTGGGTGAGCTTAGCAATCGCAATTTGTGCTATTATTTACCTATATCCAGTCTCTTCTTTCACTCCTTTTCTTTTTCTTCAATTTGTGCTCTTATTCTTTATTCCTTTCTTCTCTGCCTCCCCTCCTCTCTCTAGGTCTTGTTGTTGTTTAACAAACTCTTGTAGAGGTTTTTGAGATTGCGTATGTGAAATTTGACAATATTCAGGTGGAGAAAAGAATTTTTAATCTAAACATGAAAGTCACTTTGCACTCAGAGCAGTCAACTCTCTGACTCATTTATATTCATAGATAAATGTTTCATAAAAATACTTTTTTGTATACAAAA